ATCTCTCCATCCCCTGAACTACAATAATTTCTAAAGTTTCTCCCATATTTAATTTCTATCATAAAATTCCATAGGCAATAAAGAAGAAAAACATAATCAGAGCATCAGTGAACTAACTGAAACTCTCTAGGTGAAGAAGTCTTTACAGTTATCCAACTAGGCAATTATTTGTTAAGCTTAAATTTACATGGAACACCATCATTTTAAAGGGAAGTATAGTCACTCAAACGAACGGACGTCCCTAGGGAATGACATGCTCAATGTTAAACAAACATCAGTTCTATAGACACTTATTAAAATATTCAAACAGGAAGGAAGGGAAAATTTAAATAATCACATTAGATTTGGTTTCTGGTTTAGTTTTATAAGACAGACTCCAGACTCCAGACTCCAGAACTAGCCATGTAGCAAGGATGACTTTGAACTTCTGATCTCTTAGTCTGAGGTCATAAGCATGCCTGCCCTTATGAAGTCCTGGAGATAAAATCAGGGCTTCATGCCTGGAGGCCAGATTCTACCATCTGAAGGCCCCAGCCCTGTGTCTTCCAATCATATGCACTATCTGCTAAGCAAAGCCCAGGTTCATGCCCACTGGAGGACTCAGAGTACTAATTTCCCTTGTCAGCTTCAATATACATCTAACTTTTCATGGGGGAGGGAGGTTGGTCCTCATGTAGCCCAGGCTGGCCTTGAATTTACTATGGAGCCAGGAATGACTTTGAACTTCTGATCTTATCTTTGTCTCACAAGTACAGGGATCATAGGTTTGCTGCTACTGTATCTGGTTCAGGGTAGAAATATTAATATAAAATTGTTCTATTAGTTTGAAATCCATGAAATGACATTGTCAATAAAAAGAAAAGTTGTTTGATTCTTCAGATAAAATTATAATTGTAAATTTTGAATGGCTCTATAAAATAGTTTTAAATATTTTATCACCCACTTATATGATCAGAGTCCCTCAATGATAATGAGTATTCAGAATATGAGAAACTCATCATTAAAAAGTCTGGTTCAAAAACTGCATAAAGCGATTTTAACCATAAAATTCAATACTAAGATATAGTCACAGGACCAAGTTCAAAGAGATCATTAAGAAAATGGAATTTTTTATTTGAAAGTTTTATGCAAATTCCATGTGCAATATCTTCCCTAATAATTTGCATCTTTTTAAAAATCACAATTATATAAAGAAAATGTTATGAAAATTTTAAGTCAGCCATTACTTAGATGACTCCAAATCACTTGCTGCTTACCCTGGCATGCTTTAAAAAATAGTTTTCTAAGTTCAGGGCCACCCTCAGTTACACATTGAGTTGAAGGCCAGCCTGGGCTGCATAAAATCCTATCTCAAAAATTTTTCTTAATTATTTTCTAGGCTTGGTAGCAAATGCCTTTAATCCCAGCACTTGGGAGGCAGACGCAGGCATATCTCCTGAGCTCTAGGCCAACTTGGTCTACAGAATAAATTTTAAGTCAGGGCCAAGGAGACCATCTCAAAAAAGAAAAATCTGTATATCATAAAATGAAAGTGGAAAGACTGTATTCCCCTGCTCCCCATGCCACCCTACACTCCCTCATTTCAAGCAGAAGTTTTTTGTTTGCTTGTTTGTGTTTAATTTATTTAATTTTTTGGCAAAGGATTTCTCTGTGTGGCTTTGTACACCAGGCTGGCCTCGAACTCAGAGACCTGCCTACCTCTGATTCCCAAGTGCTGGGATCAAAGGCCTGAGCCACTACTACTTGCCCCACTCCTTCATTTCAAAGAAAGTTAGGGCTCCAAGGATTGACAGAAGACAAGGTTCAACAAAGTTTGAGTATGTGTTTTATTGGATCAAGAGCTAGATATTGTGCTGGGCGGTGGTGGCACACACCTTTAATCTCAGCACTTGGGAATGAGAAGCAGGTGGATCTCTGTGAGTTCGAGACCAGCCTGGTCTACAAGAGCTGGTTCCAGGACAGGCTCCAAAGCTACAGAAAAACAATAAAAAAAAAAAAAGCGCTAGGAATTACAGACAAAGACTACATAGCAAGACAGTCTCTCTCTCTTTTTAGACAGGGTTTCTCTGTGTAGCCTTGGCTGTCCTGGAACTCACTCTGTAGACCAGGCTGGCCTCAATCTCTAAGTACCAAGTGCTTAAGATTCAGTCTTAAAACACAAAACCTCACTGGGTAGTGGTGGCCCATGTCTTTGATCCCAGCACTCCTGAAGGTAGAGGCAGGTGAATCTCTGTGAGTTTGAAGCCAGCCTGGTCTAGAGTGAGTTCCAGGACAGTTAGAGCTGTTACACAGAGAAACCCAGTCTCAAAAAACCAAAAGCAAAAAAAGGTAATACAGTTCAAAAAATGAGATTTAAAAAAAAAAAAAAATTGATTAGGCCAGGCATTGGTGGACCACACCTTTAATCCCAGCATTCAGGAGGCAGAGGCAGGCAGATCTTTGAGTTCAAGGCCAGCCTGGTCTACAGACTAAGTTCCAGGACAGGCTTCAGAGCTACACAAAGAAACCCTGTCTCAAACAAACAAACAAACAAAATTATTGATTAGAAATAATTTGGTGAAGGGATGGCTCAGTGGTTAAGAGCACTGGGCTGCTCTTCTGAGTTCAAACCTCAGAAATAATTTGTTTAGACACCATGCAGAGGCAGATGATTGCAGATCCTTACCAAGCCTGTCCCTTTTCCTGAGTTCTAACTTAAAGAGTGTAACTTTTTCTTTTCTCTTTCTTTTGTATACTGGCCAGAGCTTATAACTATGCTTTCCTAGACCCACTGGACCTCCTGTTTCTCTGAAGAACATACCACCCCCCCTTCCCGCCAGTTTTCTACAGCTGCTTACGTCCATGCCCTATTCAAAAGGAGTGTTCCTCTTCTCTAGATCCCTCTTTCCAACAGGTGTGGGACTTACAGCTTGCCTACTCTGTTCATTTTCTCTCAAACTATTAAAATGGTCAAAACTTCAAAAAGAAAAAAAGAAAATAATCCTAGACAAATATGAAATGCCCTATCTGGAGCCAGGTAGGTCTTACCAATCACCCTGGCAGTATTTCTTAGGGAAGGACAATCTGAATATCATATTTTGAAGGTCTTTAAGATTGTCTTCCCTAAGCCGGGTGTTGGTGGCTCATGCCTTTAGTCCCAGCACTGGGGAGGCAGAGGCAGGCAGATCTCTGTGAGTTCAAGGCCAGCCTGGTGTACAGAACTAGTTCCAGGGGAGGCTCCAAAGCAATACAGAGAAACCCTGTCTGGAAGAAAAAAAAAAAAAAAAAAAATCTGAATTTGAGCCTGGTCTACAGAGCAAGTGCCAGGGTAGGTTCCAAAGCTGTACAAAGAAACCCTGTCTGGAAAAAACAAAAAAGAAAATAACAACAAAAACTGAAAAGCTGTCTCCTCCCCTCTTCCCCCCCAAAAGCTAGCAGAGCATGAGCGAGAGAACAGGCCAGTAAGCAAGCAAAGATCATTAATGGATTCTGCTTCAGTTCCTGCCCTGTCTTTTCAATGGTGGCCCATGACCTGGAAGTAAAAAATGAATTTGCACTCCTAAATTGCTTTTGTTCATGGTATTTATTACAGCAACAAAAAGCAAACTAGAAACAAGGTATCTTGTAGCTCAGAGTGGAATCACATCGCCCTTTGTATCTGTGAATGTCCTTGAATTTTTTCTTTTTTGAGACTGGGTCTCATTGTGTAGCTGTCTCAGAACTAGCTGTGTAGAATCTACCTCCTGAGTGCTGGGATTAAAGGTCTCAGGCACAGCAGGGCTGTGGTGAATCTTCCACCCCACAAATGCTAGGGTTAGGGGCTGTCACCTAGTTTGAGTAGGAACCAGGCAAAGGACTCATGCACTGTAGGCAATCAAGTTACTACATACCTGAATCCATTCCTACTCTCTCACAGGGAAAGACAGATAATTACAAAGGAGTTTGTTTTGTTATGCTGAATTTAAATTAAAATAGGCGATTTGTTGCAAGAAAGTACTTGTCAATTGTGCTTTTCTTCCTCCACCCCCAGGAATTTTATTTAAAAAGGGATCTGCAGATTTTTTTTTTCTTCTCTTTTGAGACAGGGTGTCACTATATATACCTGGCTGCCTGGAACTCCATGTAGGGCAGAGCGGGCTAGAGGTATACCATACCACGCCTGGTAACTTACTTACATTGTCATGGGTGTTAGATCATCTAATCCTATGTTCCCTTTTATTTATTTGAAAAACTAAAGTTCAAATGATTTCAAATCCCTTTGCCAGGAGAGAAAAGACTCGATTTCTATGTCACGCATGTGCTTCATAAAACTTCGAACAGACGTCCCTTTAAAAAGATACAAATCACTAGACAACAGGTAGCCTATCAGGCCATCAAGCCTTTTCAGAAACTTTGGAAATGGATGGCTCCATTCTCAATTCTGTTACCTAAACAAACGATTCTGTTCCTTCCCCTCAGACTGATAAACGTCTTAATTCTTTAACTCTGAGAGTCGCCTATAAGGGAAAGTCTCATTAAGTCAGCCGCACTTTCCCGCCCTGCGACGTGCGGGATTTAGGAAGGTCAGTGCCGCAGGGCTCGCAGCGTGGGCCTCCCAAGGGCCCCCAGCATTTGGACTCCCGCGAGGGAGGCGAAGGGGTCTGCGGGCTTCCCTGCAACCTTAAGTCGCGGGAAAGAAAAGCGTGGTTTCCCTTCATGCACTGGAGTAGGGGCCAGCTGGGAAATGGAGACGCAAAAGCGCGCGGGGAGGGGCGAGAGGCGCCAAAAGAAAAGCAAAGGCCTTTCTCTAGGCTGACGCGCGGTCACGCGGCTTTCTCCCGACGTGGGCGCTTGCCATTGGTCGGGCTGCCACTGACGTTGCCTGGCGCGAACCGCGGCGAGGGCGGCGCTGCGTTGGAAGTTGGTGAGGCGCGCGCGCTCCCGCGGCTCGACCAATCCCCACCCTTCGCTCTCGGCCCGCCAACCCGCTCGTCCAGTCGCGCTCCGCTTAGGCGTGACTCCGCCCCCGGTGGGCGGGCGGCGCGCGGAAAGCGCGTCACGTGATGACTAGCCCCGCCTCTTCCTCTCGGTCCCATATTGAACTCGAGTTGGAAGAGGCGAGTCCGGTCTCAAAATGGAGGTAAAACCGCCGCCCGGTCGCCCCCAGCCTGACTCCGGCCGTCGCCGCCGCCGCCGGGGGGAGGAGGTATTAGGGGGAGAGCGGGGGGTTGCTGGGTAGTTGCCGGCGTGGGGGGGGCTTTGGCTCGATGGGAGCGGGGAGGCCGGGGGGAAACCGGGACGATCGTCCCGCGCTCTGCGCTGAGAGGGCGGTGGGAGGGGGAGGGGAGCGGGCCTAGCGGCCCCATCCAGGCCCTCCATCGGCCTGGCCCTCTCGGTCGGCCGCACCAGCAGCCCTCGGAGACGCGGCGCGGCCGGGGAGGAGGTCCGCGGCCGGGCGAGGAGCCCGAGGCCTGCGCGGCCTGACTGGCGAGGCCGCGGGCGGCATGGCGGGCCTCGGCGGGAGCGGTTGGGAGGAGGCGGTGGGGGAGGGGAGGAGCACATCCGGGCGAGCGAGCAGGCGGGCGGCGGCCACATTGACATTGATCCGCTGCCGCGTTACGAAATGGCGCATTGGCCCGCAATGGCCGCCGCCTGGTTACGCCGCCAAGGAGGAGTGCGTGGGATCGGAGGGAGCGGCGAGAGGCGGCCGGGCAGAAGATGCCGCAGATGGCCTCGAGCCTCGGGGCGCGGTGCTTTCCGCTGGGGTGCTGCCGGCGCGTGTGTGGGCCTTCGGGCCTCCTCGGGGACGGCAATCCGCGCAGTTCTCTGCGTTCATTTGGGGATACATTACTGAAATGCTTGCTGCTTTGAGGTGCTTCCTAACCCGCTACTGATTTCGCTTAAGTGTTTGGAATGAAAGCGCTTATAGCGTCTTGTGGTTGAAGTATTAAACTATTTCAAGGGTTTGCGTGTAGGTGCTTATTTGGAGCTTAATGTTTTATTGGTGTAATTTCTCATTGGATTGGCACCGGTTGTGGATTCCTGGATTTCGGTTTTGGAGAATTGCGGCCACAGTCAAAAATTTCACGATTACGAGGATTTTGGGTGTACAGAGATGTTTTTGTGTATTGTCAAATGCGTTTATCCAAGGCTTGGCTAAATGGGAGTAAGTGGATTAAAGCTTTGGGCAGTTGGTCATTTAACGTTTCCAGTATGTGGCAGTATTGAATGCTTTAATTCCTACTTTTAGAAGGTTGAAGACTTTTTAAATGTGTGTGTCTCCTTTAAGGATTTGTGTTGAATTGTCTTAATGTGTGCTTTAAAACCAGTTCACTTGAATGTAAAACCTTCAAAATGAAAAATTGATACTATTTATTTTCTAAGTCAATTACGGTTTTGTGCTTAATTCCTTGGGCAGACGGTATATGCTATACGTGATGTAAATTCAAATAATATGCTTTTGAATGTAGGTGTACTGTTTGAAATCACTTAAATGGTAAATGGCTATTCACCAACTTAAAATTGATTACAGAAAGCTAAGTATTGCAACCAGGTGTGATAATTTCAGTACACCTGTTATACTGGCACGTGGAAGGCTGAGGTAGGATGGCCTCAAGGCCCGGTCTACAGCCTAGCCTGTCCTTGAGAACCTCCCTCAGCAGCCCCTCCCTCCCCCAAAGCATTACGGGCCTAAGTCTTATCCCTGGTTTGTTTTGTTCCTTGTGGGATATGCCTGTTTTGCCTAGGAATGTCTTAAATAACTGATAAGCTGGAAGTTTGAATCTCTCCCAATTTGCCACTCCAAACTTTTAACTTGCATTTCATAGATTGTGTTTTAAAATTACGGGTTTGTTGCTGTTCCAAACTGAGGCTAGTGGTAATGGCACGGGTTGAATAATGCTGACTCTTGGGTTCTTTTTTTATAGTGAATGAGGTTACATTTCACATTTGAAATATATACATTCCTAACAGTTGAACCTCAGAATTTTTTTTTTTAATTCTGGGATAGTTTTGGGGTTCAGTTTAGTTACAGAATGCTTAAAATGACCTCAGATACCATTGTAGTGAGTTTTTTGTTTTTAACTTATATACTTAATACTACTTTGAACTGTATACATAGTTCAGTCTAGCCTCTGCTTCAAACGCTGAAATTAACTGGTGTGTGTATATCATGCCCAGCGTAGAGCAGATTTTTAATTGGAATATTAATGTTAGAAAATTTGAGAGTCATGTAACTTTCATTTGCTTCAAGGAAAAATAAAAACTATATTGATCTTTTTTTCTCAGGGCCATGATCCAAAGGAACCAGAACAGTTGAGGAAGCTGTTTATTGGTGGTCTGAGTTTTGAAACCACAGATGATAGCTTAAGAGAACATTTTGAGAAATGGGGCACACTTACAGACTGTGTGGTGAGTTCTGGGAGAGTGACGATGGTCTTAGGAACGGATGGGAATCTACAGGACTATTTAAGCACTTTTGTCTGTTTATTTTATAGGTAATGAGAGACCCCCAAACAAAACGTTCCAGGGGCTTTGGTTTTGTGACCTACTCTTGTGTTGAAGAGGTGGATGCTGCAATGTGTGCTAGACCACACAAGGTTGATGGGCGTGTGGTGGAACCAAAGAGAGCTGTTTCTAGAGAGGTATTTTAATAATAACATGTTGTATAATGCATGGAACTGTGAGAGTTTGGTTTTTTTGACTTAAAATTATTTTATTTGCAGGATTCTGTAAAGCCTGGTGCCCATTTAACAGTAAAGAAGATTTTTGTTGGTGGTATTAAAGAAGATACAGAAGAATATAATCTGAGAGACTACTTTGAAAAGTATGGCAAGATTGAAACCATAGAAGTGATGGAAGACAGGCAGAGTGGAAAAAAGAGAGGATTTGCTTTTGTAACTTTTGATGATCATGACACCGTTGATAAAATTGTTGGTAAGTAATAGCTGCAATACAAATGATTTCTGTTTTCAACTGAATTTAACTAACATACTTGGTGAAAGGAGTGAAAGGATATAATTCTAGTTTTCATAAATAATCACACTGTGACCCTTTAATACAGTTCCTTATGTCGGTGTGGACCCCCCCAGCCATAACATTATTTTCTTTGGAACTTCACTAATTTTGCTGTTACACACTTACCTGATGATCCCTGTGAAGGTTGAAACCCATCCAGATTAAGAAACATTTCCTCAAATTTCTTCTTATTCTCAGTCCACCAATTTAACAAGTATTTAAAGTAATTGCATGGCAACAAAGGGTTTCACTTATTTGGCTTTTCCAAACCAAAAAAAAAATAACTTTTTTTTTTACTTAAAAACTTACAGTTCAGAAATACCACACTATTAATGGGCATAATTGTGAAGTGAAAAAGGCCCTTTCTAAACAAGAGATGCAGTCTGCTGGATCACAGAGAGGTAAGTAGGATCAAAGTAGGATCATATAACTCAATAGCCATGAATAGTAGTTGAAAGATTTTGACAGTTTTACTTCAACATGTGTTACAGGTCGTGGAGGTGGATCTGGCAACTTTATGGGTCGTGGAGGAAACTTTGGAGGTGGTGGAGGTAATTTTGGTCGTGGTGGAAACTTTGGTGGAAGAGGTAAGGTGCTTTTAAGTGCTAATGCATCATAAATTTACTAGTCAGTTGAAGGTCAGTTTTAATTCGTTGATTTTCCTCAGGAGGCTATGGTGGTGGAGGTGGTGGCAGCAGAGGTAGTTATGGAGGTGGTGATGGTGGATATAATGGATTTGGAGGTGATGGTGAGTATTTAAAGACTGAATTTTGTCATTAATTTCTGCATTGCCAGGAATCTAAGACTGCCTCTTGCTAGGTAGGTAGGAAAACTCAAACATAGATATGGTAGATGGTTTTGAGTGTTTAAATGGCCATATTAAAAGTATCATACCTTACAGTCATACCTTACAGTCCTAAAATTTTGAATGGATTGAAATGTAGTTTGTAACTAGTCCTCTTCAGACAATAAGTTTTATTTAGCAGTTGAGCTAAAATTGCTTTATGTGAGGCTATATTGTCCTGAGTGAAAATGGAAACATACTAGATTTAGAGTGTTAAATCCTGTTCAGTGGTTGTTGTCCGTAATGGTGTAGTTTAAGCCAGAAGTATTTGGCCTTCCCTGTACACTTGTTTCTGTGTGGCTTTCTTTTCAGGTGGCAACTATGGTGGTGGTCCTGGTTACAGTAGTAGAGGAGGCTATGGTGGTGGTGGACCAGGATATGGAAACCAAGGTGGTGGATATGGTGGTGGAGGAGGATATGATGGTTACAATGAAGGAGGAAATTTTGGTGGAGGTAAGTTCAGATGTTTGAAGTAAATGCAAACTAGCATTTAAGTTAATTCTCTGTAATACTTGGAAATGCTTAAGGGTACACTAGCAAAGTTTTAAGTGCTAATAGCTATATTAAAACACAGCTCGTCCATGTAAAGTTACCATGTGCATTATTTTTAATTTGTTGGACAGTGGGCACTGCATACATCCCACAACTAGAAAACAATTTTTAAGAAATGTATACAGGGGGACCTTGAGTTCCAGATCAGTCTGGATAGTATAGAAGAAAAATTGAATAATTACAATACTTGCCTTCATGACTGTCCAAATAAAGGAATAATTACTTTGGTAAACTAAATAAAATCTTTTATTTCAGGTAACTATGGTGGTGGAAACTATAATGACTTTGGAAATTATAGTGGACAACAGCAGTCAAATTATGGACCCATGAAAGGGGGCAGTTTTGGTGGAAGAAGCTCAGGCAGTCCCTATGGTGGTAAGTGGTTTTTAATCAGATTTCTTAAGAGCCATCCTGGTTAACATTTTATGTGTATTTAGAGCTATGTTATTTTTCAGGTGGCTATGGCTCTGGTGGTGGAAGTGGTGGATATGGTAGCAGAAGGTTTTAAAAAAATACAGCAGAAAAGGGTAGGTATCTTTAAATTTTTATTAAATTATGATGATAAAAGAATATGTGGAACTTCATTGAGTGTAATAATTTTTTTATCCTGTATTATTCAACAGGCTACAGTTCTTAGCAGGAGAGAGAGCGAGGAGTTGTCAGGAAAGCTGCAGGTTACTTTGAGACAGTCGTCCTAAATGCATTAGAGGAACTGTAAAAATCTGCCACAGGAGGAACGATGATCCATAGTCAGAAAAGTTACTGCAGCTTAAACAGGAAACCCTTCTTGTTCAGGACTGTCATAGCCACAGTTTGCAAAAAGTGCAGCTATTGATTAATGCAATGTAGTGTCAATTAGATGTACATTCCTGAGGTCTTTTATCTGTTGTAGCTTTGTCTTTTTCTTTTTCTTTTCATTACATCAGGTATATTGCCCTGTAAATTGTGGTAGTGGTACCAGGAATAAAAAATTAAGGAATTTTTAACTTTTCAATATTTGTGTAGTTCAGTTTTTCTACATTTTAGTACAGAAACTTTAACAAAAACGCAGTTTTGAAGGTGTTTCTTAGAGTTAACAAGTAAAGAAGATCATTGTTAATTACTATTTTGTATGAATTTTGCTAAAGTTAACTGTAAAGAAACACCTACTGACTTGCAATTTAAGGGGAATCTATTCTCCCTATTTCCAAAACCATGATGAATGGGGGCTGACATGTGGAGAGAATAGATATTTGTATGTTTGCAATGTGTGTTTTAGATAATTAGGATTGGGTAATAAAAATTAGCATATTTGTGAATTTAATAGCATTAAGATTACTTTCAAATGAAAAACATCTCAAAAGTTCCTATTTGGGTTTTGTGCATTTTATTTCAAAATGTAATCACAACTTTAGTATGTTAGTTTTATTGAGTCCTAGCCATGTTAAGAACATCTCCACTCCACATTTACCCTGATCACATTGAAACTGCTGCCAATAGTTTGGGGTATAAAGTGTTTATGCTGCCCTCTACTAATACAGGACCACTAAGTCTGCTGTGTCTGAGCAAACTGGTGGATACCTGGTTTTTCAAATTCAAAGTCCAAAAGCACATTACTCCTTGGTTTAGTTACCCCATACACACAGCTTATCAGCAGAGGAATAAAAGACACTCAATTGAACCCATAACTGGATGGCATGCTTTCCTCTTCATACCCTATACATTTTGCTGGATGATAGAACCAAGGATAGTTAAGGCATCCAAAACAAAGCAGCAGAAAATGTAGCACAGTTGCTTAGTGTGAGCTCCTCACGTCACAAAGACCTGAATGAATTCAAATTTGGATAGTCCCAAATGCTTAAATCCCCAAAGAACACACGGTTATTCTTTGTATATATTTCATCCTGAAACATGGTGTTTGTCCAGAGACCCTGGTTGAGAAGAGTTGTAGATACTAAGGTCATATATATGAAATATGTCTACTGTTGCGCCAGCTAGTGTTTAACAACATCATTCAAGCCCCTGAGTATGTGCTCTGCTGTTGCTTTCTTTGGCATTTGAACATTGAATTCAAATTTTTTTCTTGGTTTTTGAAGTATAAGCAAAACAAGCAATAAAAAGGGGAATGGGGCGTGCTAGTGTTTGAATATGCTCTCTTGTTGCTCTAATTCTGTGCCTCTGTGCATTATTAATATTTGGATGCATGCAGTGCTAGCATGGAACTTTGGTCTTCACAAAATACTGCAGTTTTTCCAGAAAACACTCACAAAACAATAAATGTAACAGACAACATTCCATTTGTTAATGGGCATATGTGAATAAGCAGTGCAGAAAGTAGGCTCATGTTAGAAAATGGTTACACCTTTCATAACTAAGTGTGATTATAAATGGACACTGTCAATGTTCTTAGTTTAAACCTGGGTACCTGGTCAAAATGCTTAGGAATATTAAAAGTAAGCTAACTTGTCTCAAGTCCTTTTATTCATATAATAAAGATTGAAAGAATTGGGGAGGTTAACATTTCCTGGTTTTGTTTGTGAAATTGTTGGACACAACCTTGACAGTATCCTTTAATGTCATGAGGTCAATTGTATTGTTAACCAATTTTTTATGTTCTGGAACTACTATAATAGTGAAACATTTTTTCAGTAAGTCGATGTTTACAACCTATAATCAGGTGAAATGTGTATGTGACCTGTTTATAAGTTGTACTAGGTTAGCTCTTGTGAACAGTGTGGAGAAGTAAGCCATGAGAGCGATTTAACCAGCTTAAAGGACCTAAGTTGTGCTTTTTAAGCACTGGATCAAAGGAAACCCACTAAGACAGGACTTCAGCAGCCTTTTGTGTATGGACAAGTCAGCATAAATAAAGAATGTGAAGGCAGCAGCAAGAGCTTCAACTACAGAGAAGTGGAGGCATAAGATACTATGGTGATAGTGAGCAGCTTTCCAAAAGCTAGTTAAATCTGCTTATTGCAACTGAAATGTCGAAGAAAGTAGCAGGAAGGAGCTCCGCCCTTTGGAACATCAATGAGATAGTGGCCACAGTCGCTAGGTCTAGCATTTAGACCTGCAAGGAAGGGCAATAAGCATAGGTAAGGCTTGAATTTGAATTTTTTCACTAATTAAAGAGTGCTTTTTTGTAAAGCAAGGTAAGAGTAATCTTTTTGATTTGCAGGTGAATGAGAACCCTACTTGCCTAAATGAGGAATGTCTTTCCTACCATCTTAAATACGAAGGTTTCTGGCTTGGGTAAGGTTTGTTTGTAGCTCACAGTAAAATTTGAAGACACTTGGTTTCCCTACAAATCAATGCCACGGGTTGAAACATTACCCCTATTAGTAGGTACACTGGCAGAATTGTCAGATTTTTTTTGTTGGGGGGGGGCAATTCCCTGCTGAACAAGTTATAAGACATAAGGTGGTTACATTCTGCAGTGGTTATACATACTTGTGGTGAACCAGATGTGGCCTCTTTATGTGAACAGCTCACAGTATCTTGGTAAAATCAGCTTTCCATAAAGGAAAGTCAAGTTGCCCTTCCAGAAAATGATTTTTGAACTATGTACAACTTCCAATAAGCTGCAAGTTCCCACCTTAGTGGAAACAGGGAACTTTCACAATTGCCAGAATACTGGTCTTCCTTAGACTTCTCTTGCATACCAGTCAGTTTTTAGGTGGTGTATGTCTGTCCGCTCCATCTTTTTAACACACAGGGTCTCACTGTTGGGAACTCCAACCACCTGCCTGTCTCCCAAATGCTGGGATGATGAAAGAAGGGTGGTGTTTAATTGTCGCTTATATTCCTTGAAAAACAATCCAAAGAACAGTTGAATTATTCAAATAATTTGCTGATTGTTCATAAGGGCTATTTTTTGCTGCCTTCATAGGGCTTTGAAAATTGCTTGCTTAATTCAGGTTACATTTTAATATTTTCATCGGACAAGTTTGCAAAATTGTTAGTAAGTTAAGAGATCTTTTCCACACAGGGATGTCCTACATCAAGTTAACTTGGCATTCAGTGAGGCATTTCAGTTACTAATAAAGCAAGGTAGCAGTCTTTCAATGGTTCCTTCAGACTTGGAGAAATACATTTTTTAACAGGCATTCTATTTCCTTTCTGAAATAAAATGATTCTACTTAATGTTGTTCCACTGTCATTTCTGCAAAAACATTTTACATATAAAAGTTGGACATACAAAACGGAATAATTGAGGTGGCTTTGACTTTTTGACCTGTAGGGTACTGCTCCCAGTTTACATGTCTAAAAGCTGCATTCACACTCATGTCTAAAGAAGAGACCATGTTGAAAATCTGCAAAGTACTAAAGAGAAATGGGCTTGGTTTTAAAGGGATTTGTGTTACAATTCAAAACATTTCTAATGATAGTAATTGGCATGTTAAAATAAGCATGGGGATATATACAGGGTGCTGTGAGGACTGTCTATCCAAGTATTAGTATTAAGTTTTAAATTTCATGACAGGTGGTCTGTACAAGATTCAATTGTTTCATTTGTAGTATGATGAAATGTTAAAGAGAGATGACTTTCATTAAAATATTTTTAGAAATGTGTCTGGTTTTATCACTGCAATACTCCTTTGACTCAGTTCTCTGTGTGAATATAGACAGTAGCAAAATAGTTTGGGATGAGCCTTGATATTTTAAAAGATGTAATCAAGACAACATGGAATAATTGGTGTTTGTGTGATTTATGCACTTTGGGATAAATTAGGCAAGTGAAATGGAAGGGGGAGTTTGGCATGTGACAACATTTAAAATTAAAATTTAAAAGGTGGTTCCTTATTTGGACATGAAGTTAATAGGGTCAAGAAGTTGCTGTGAAGTTTACTGCAGTTTCCCCCTAATATGTGGGTGGTCTGTTGGTAACATTTACAGCTATAAACCCAGCCTACTCTCAGGTTTTAGATTGCACTATGCTATTCTGAGTACTGGGTTCTGTGAAGGTGCCTAACCAAACATGATTCCCAAGTGAGTTATTTTGTAAATAAAATGTAGGTGAGGGTTCTTAGTTGTAGGAATTTTACATTTAGTATGCTGGTTTTATGTTGTAACTAGGAATCACAAATTTAGATTATTAAGTCTTGTCCTGAAATGGATTTAGCTTTCACCAACATACTTTGCTGTCCAGGTGAAAATAGCAATAAAGTGGTGCTATGCCTTATACTTGCCTAGCATGCATAAGGTCCTGTCTTCAGTCTCCCCTCTTCACAAGCATGCCAAACGGGAAAAGACTAAGACAACCCATAGTGCATTTATTCCTATTATACCTTATTTTAGCAAGATCAAGATCTTGTAAGTTGGTATAACCAGGTTGACCAGAGATTTAGGGGGAGGGCAAGTTTTGGTTATTTAATAACAATGGTGGTATAAAGCCTCAATAAATCTGGGAACTAGAAGCACAGATTTGCCCATGCTATTTAGGTCTCTGAAACTCAGTGAACAGGTTCCAAAGTAACAAGGATTTAAGAAATGGTTCATATTTTTATATACATTGGTGTTAGGCCTGCGTGTCTTTTTGAGTCAGAGCCACTGGAACTTTAGACAGTTGTGAGCTGCTAATGTGGGTGTTGGGCATTTAACCCATGTCCTCTGGAAGAACAAATACTGCTCTTTAGCCCAAGTTACAGTAATTTTGAGCCTGCAATGGTGCTTGCCTGTAATCAGCAAGAGGCAGAGGCAGGTAAGTCTGAAGTTGAGCCCAGCCTGGTGACAGTCAGAACTGTTATACTAGAAACCAGTCTCAAAAAGCCAAGTGGGTGTTGTACCAATACATTCATTTTTGTGTAGCCATTGCATTTTTAAAGACTTGCCTGTGTGCACATTATGTAAATATCTGGTGTCCCTTGAATCCAGAAGAAGGCACCACTTTCTGGAGCTGGAGTTGCAGAACTTTGATTTTACTATATGGGTGCGGAGAACCAAACCTTTGTGTTTAACAAGAGTGGAGGTTCCCTTAACAGCTGAACCATTTCTCTAGCCCCTTCCAGTTGGTTCTATCTAGGCGTTATGGATAATTTTCTTTTTAGGGGACATTGTGTTTCCCTATGTGGTTAATGGAAACCTCTTTGAGCTTCAGATACATTGCTAGCTGTGAATTTAGTCTCTGAGCTTTGCTTATTAAATTTAGATTGTGAACTTAACCATGTGAGGTTGAACAGTTTTTCCCCCTTTTGATTTTGTATTATTTCCCCTTCTAGACAGGATTTCTCTGTAGCTTTAGTGTCTGCCCTAGAGCTTGTTCTGTAGATCAGGCTGCCCTTGAGCTCCCAGGGTTCTGCCTGCTGCCTCCCAAGTTTGGGAATAAAAGGCTTATGCCACCACCATCTACCTAAGGGCTCAGACAATTTATTTGGGGGTGGTTTTGGTTTTTTCCTTGTTTGTTATTGCCAACAAGAAAGCTTAAAATAACTGGGTTTGGGTGTCAAAGAGATGGCTTAGTGGCTAAGAGTATTTGTTGCTTTTCCAGATGATTTAAGTTTGATTTCCTCCAGCACCTATATGGGACATCTCAACTATCTGTACTTATAGTCCCAGGAGATCCAACATCCATAGACACAACTTTTAAAATAATACTTTGGGAGAGAGTTGTGATTGCATCCCTTTAATTCTAACAGTTGGGAGATGGGGCAGGTAAGTCTTAGTTCCAGGCTAGCCAGGCTTATACAGTGACACTTGGGGAACATTTTTAAAAGTTCAGTTTGGTTTGTTCAGAAACAGCCCAATCTGGCCTCTATCCTCTGGCCAGAGCATTCCCAAACTGGAGTTATACCTTGAACATCTAATGCTGGCTCAATGTTAAACTCTTAAATATTGACAGTTTAAAAGTTACCTTTAAAAGTATTAATCATAGAAAGATAGCTCAGTGATAATTCTGGCTGCTCCTGAGTTCAACTCCCAGCACTCACAGGCTGACAACTATCTATAATGGGATTTGATACCATCTTCAAAGTATTATCTGGCTCAGCAATAGGTGCTTTATACATTAAATCCTGATTTTATTTGATAGGATCTCTTGAGTTTCCAACAATCCAGTCATCTAAAGTTAAAATCATCTGCTGGGTGGTGGTGGTGGTACATGCCTTTGACCCCAGCACTTGGGAGGCAGAAGCAGGTGGCTCTCTGAGTTTGAGATCCTCCTGTTCTATATAGCTGGGTCCAGGATAGAGCTGTTAGACAGAGGAAACCCTGTGTGGGGTGGAGGAACATTACCAATATTGATTAGAATCTTGAGATGTGTTGAGACAATCTAGATGGCCCAGTGCCCAAGTGTTACAGGTATGTTTTTTCCATTAGTCTGGTCCCACAGTCGTGTCATCAGCCTCAAATAACACACCAAGACGCTGTATTAGATAAAAAGCTGTTAGCCTGTTACTAGCATTTCTTATTGGCTAGCTCTGTCTTAAATATTAACACATTTCTATCTTGACCCCTCTCCGGTAAAACAAGACCACATGGAAATACTTAGATTAATAGAAATGGGTTAATATTTTAAGACAGATAACCAGTAAATACTATTAACAGGCCAACAACATAATATCTAACACAGCATCTCTGTGTTGGGGCTGGTGCAGCTCTGGGTCCAGGCCGGTGGGGAAAAAAACATACTCGTAACACCCAAGAGCTGTTGCTGTACAAGCGTGAGACCCTCAGTTTGAATTTAAGCACGGATGTAAAAAGTCAGGTGTGGTCATATGTCCACTGAAGCTTGTTGGCTGTTAGCGTAGCTCCAGGTTCAGTCAAGAGACCACGTGTCAAGGGTAGAATGGAGTGATGAAGGCTTGAAGACACTTGATGTTTTCTGGTCACATGTGCATGTACATCACAAGATTATAAGACCCAGATTTATGTTAACTATGCAAATATAGAGTACTGCCTGAGGTTAAGTAACATATCCTGAAGCATACCTAAAGTTTAATGGGAGATTAGTTAAGTCAGGATCTTGGTTTTCCTTTTTTCCTTCCAAGTAAAGAATTGAAGTCACTAAGTTTTCTCTCAATTCTCTGGCAGCAACTCTTATCAACTGTAACTACTGGCCCGCCTTTGTTTTTTGAGACAGGGTTTCTCTGTAACAGCCCTGACTGTCCTGGAGGCCAGGCAGGCCTCAAACTCACAGAGATCCACCTGCCTCTGCCCCCCAAATGCCAGGATTAAAAGGCATGTACCACCATACCCGAAACTGCTGTCCTCTAAAGTGGGAAAGATATGGTCCTTAAAAAACAAAACAAAAAAATTCTCCCCCCCCCCCCCCGCAGGGTTTCACAGTATATCCTTGGCTGGCCTGGAACTCTAGAGATCTGCCTGATTCTCATGAGTGCTAGCATTAAATCTGTGTACTATTACATCCAGCCTCATGATCACAAACATTATGGATGTGGTAGTATATTTGAATAGACTCCCTATTCACTCAAAAACAGCTGGGGGAAAAATCTTGGATGGGTTTTAAGATTTTTTAATATAAGGGGCTGAAGACCATTTATGGCTCTGCAAAGGCCCCAGGTTTGATTCCCAAACCCACATGGTGGTTTACAATCATCTATAACTCCAGTTTCAGGGGACATACATGTAGGCAAAACCTTCATACACAAAAATCTAAAAAGCAATTAATAAAAGTAAGGGGCTGGAGAGAGAGTTCTGCAGTTAAGAGTATGTACTGCTCTTGCATGGGACTAGAGCTCAGTTCCTAGACCCACATCAGATGGCTCACAACCACCTACCTGTCACTCTAGTATCAGGATCAAACCCCCTACTCCTGGTCCTCACAGACAACTGCACATAACCACACAGATACTTAGGCATACACATAGTTAAAAGTTTAAAAAAATTAGAATATAGTGTTTGACATAGCCTCAAAGGTGTGCATTTTAGCCTACAGAATTGAACTAAAAGCAGTTCAAGAAAGGTTTAAACATTTGGGCTAGATTTACTATTTCAAATATATAACCAACAGTTTTGGTTTTGATAGTTGGGTATGCTAGTGTTCAGAAGTTTTGCATTTTGTTTTCTTCTTTCTCTGTAACAACAGCTCTGGCTGTCCTGGAACTCTGTAGACAAGGCCTCTGCCTCCCAAGTATTGGGATTAAAGGTGTATGCCGCCACCACAACCTGACTTTAAAATTTTCTTGAAAGACTTCCTGTGTATGGATGTTTTGTATGCATGCCTGTCTCTGTAACTGGTGCCCAGAGAGGTCCAAAGAGTGGGCTGAGTTCCCGGGACTGCAGTTACAGATGGTTCTGAGTTGCCACATATGTGCTGGAATTTGATGAACCATTTTTCTAGCCCCTCTATTTGAAGTTTTAAGCAGTTACATAAAGCACTACGTAATTAAATTTAGGCACTGTAAAGTCTTGTGATCAGTTCCTTTATCGATGGCAGAATCTTGTCAAATTGGACTGTGATAATGCAGATGGGGAGTCTATTCCTGCATGCTCCACATGGAGCTGCTCCTAGGATTCCAGTCAGTTTCATTGTCATTTGGAATAAAGAGGAATCATCCATCACTACCACACCTCCAGAGGAGATGGACAGCATGAGAGAACTCAGGACCAATTAT